AAAAAATTCATACACGCAAGTCATAATTGAGATTTCTATTTATATCTACAAGTCATTATATAAAAATCGAACAAAATCTTTCGAAAAAGACTTTCACATTTGCAAGATTTGAAAGCAATATTCTAAAGTCTCATTATTAGTTTAATTTTTTATTTTTTAAAAAATATTTAAAGCGTTTTTATTTTAATTTTTTTTATATTCTCACTATTTTGTTATATTCATTTTCTATTAATTTTTTATCAGACAAACTTAACTTTAATACTTTTTATCAAAATTATTAAATATATTTAGAATTTTAATTTTATATAATATTTTTAAAAAATTATTAAAATTAAATTAAGTTAACTAATAAAAACAATTAAAATAAGAAAATAAGAACATAAATTATTTTTTAAATAGAAAAATATACTTGTATATTTAAAAAAATTAAAAGTTTACGAGGACAAAAGTTGAGCTTATTTATTTAATTGTTGAGAAATCAATATCAATTACTATACACAATAATGATAGATTTGATCACCGTGGCTTTGCACGCACGACAACAAGTGTTGGGTCGGATCAGGGACAGCTCAACGTCCTTTGTCAGGTGTCACCATCACCGTCCATGGCTATCAGCTGCAAAGGACTTCCAAAGGCCCTGGACCAATTTTTTCATCATTCGAGGTTAGAGAAGATTTATATTGATATGATTTTAGATTATGATATAAATTTTAGAATTTACTTAATTTTCTTTTGAGGTGAAATTTTAGGCAATACTTAGTTAAGGAGATGATTTAGGCTATCTTTGGATCTTTGAACCTAAAAAGCCTACCTTGTTAAATTTTTATCCTTAGTATACTCCATTTGAGTCTAGTTTTCCTTTTCTTTGTTTAACTACATAATAATTGAGCATAATCTTAAAATTAATTTTTCAATTTTGCAACTCTCTCTTCTAAGCAGGTATATTATTTTAGGAAATATAAATTGAGCTAAATGTTGAAAAATGTGAAAATGTGATGTTGATGTGAAAAAAAAAATATTCAAAATATGAAAAGTCATGCCATTACTTACAATACAAAGAAAATAAGTTTGGGGGTGTGAAATTATGAGTAAAAAAAAAAGTGTTGAATGAATGAAAATTCAAAAGTGGAGAAAAAATATACTAGGAGAAGAAAAATAGAGCTATATATATAGATCCCAGAATAATTATGTACTTAGGGTAATTTGAGCCATATTATTATCTTGTATCCTATCTTGATCATAGTCATACATTAAAAGCTCTATAATGTCCTATTGATCCCTAACTTGGTGTTAGTCTACATTAGTAGAAAGAGAGATGAAAAGTAAACATATGGAGTTTTAGTACTAATTTAAAATTTGTGTTGGCATAAACTCATCTAGATATCTTAATATTCTTAGTAAAAGATTTCACACACACACGAAAATCCATTCGAGAAAGTGTTTGCATTGGAATTAAAACATAAATTTGAATAAGGCCTATATTGTTCCTTAGGTTAATGATTGATAGATATACTTTTAAGAAAATTATGGAGAATTATTGAGTTTGAGCACTTTATCTCTAGTAGTAGTAGTAGCAATAATAATTATATTTATTTTAGTTTTCATTAACTAAATTTGATTTTCGTAAGTTAATTTCTTTTCTATGTTTTGCTCGAGGACTAGCAAAATATTAAGTTTGAGAGTGTGATAACTCTATGATATTGAGTTATTTGGACTTAATTTTGATAATATTTTAGCTTAGTTTTTATAGTAATGTATAGAAATTAATAGATTTTATTTAATTATTTTAAATTAATTAATTTTAGGATTAATTTGGTGTTAATATGATTAAGATAGGTTGTTGATGATTTATTTGTGCTTTTGTAGGTTTAATCAAGGAAGAATTTTAATGAATAAAGGAGAGCAATTGAGTTGCAGACCTCTTCTGCATATGTTTTGGTATTTTGGCTATAACTCTCTCAATAGAGCTTCAAATGAAATGATTCTTACACCATTGGAAAAATAAGAGAAAAACCTATAATTTTTATGTTTATCACTTCACCTAGTTCAACTTTGAATGTAGTCAAAAATCTTTTCGAAATTGGAGCTACCACTAATAATACATTAAATATAATTAAATTAAAAATATATTTAATAAAAATTACCTCCGTTTTGTTCCAAATAGGTAGCAAAATTACATGTCAATGTCTTATGAGTTATGAACCATGTGTATATATACTAATCCATCAAGAGTCATGTGAACTAAGACCCCAAATAAAAAGGTGAAAAATGTTACTTCAAACAATTCTTTCTTACATATCCATCAATCAATACAAACTATTAATTACATATCCATCAATCAGTACAAACTGTTAATACTCCATTTACATATTGCTCAGCAACAAAGCAAATATTGAATTTGTGGGTTTTAATTTCTCTGAAAGAACTACTTTAAACCATATAATGGTAGAATAGTTTAAAACCATAAATAGAGATTATAGAGAAAGCAAGGA